ATCCGAAAGATTCTAGCTATGGCGGTCAAGTCAATACGATATGATTTATTACGTACATCAGTTCCATGATTGTTCAATGGTATCATCTGCGATATTTTGATAATCAAAATCATTTTGATGAATACTGTATTTTTAATACCTACGTGATTTATCAGTATCCTTTCTAACTTCCTGCAGGCGGCAAGATTCCAAATTAAAATCACTGTCACTTGAATTCTCACTTGTTTTTTGTTTTTGTATTCATTCACAATCCCAGTCCCACCTGGAATTTTATTACAACGTATATTTTTTGACAGCCAAGTTGAATTTCCTTTCAGTTTGTTTGACAACTGAACTCCTTGAAACGTAAAATATTTGTGGCTTTTGTTGACTATGAGCATTTGATTCAATTTGTCACACCCTGCTTTGGCAAAAATTATACAATTTAGGGGTGAGCGGTAGACTTGTATCATTAATAAAAAAACTTTATGAGAACGCTACTATGGAGGTACTAGCTGCAGATGGATCTACTCGTGCCCTATAGATATTACAACAGGAGTACTACAAGGTGAAACTCTCAGCCCACTGCTTTTCTCTCTATTTCTCTCAGATATCGAACAGTATTTTTTTAACAGGGGTGCTAAAGGAATCAACATCGATAATAAAAAAGAACTGTTGATGCTGCTCTATGCAGACGATCTCGCCATTCTGGCAGACAGTGAGATCGACCTCCAACGTAAGCTGAACATTCTCGAAGCATATAGTGACCATAACGAGCTGACTGTCAATGTGAAAAAAACTAAAATAATGATTTTTTCGAGAGGACCCCTTTGTGCAGAAAATTACAAATTTTTCTATAAAAATTGTCCAGTTGAAATTGTGAAGTCCTTCGTATACCTTGGGGTTACCTTTTCAAGCTCCTCGCTTTTCCTTGAAATGGCACAATACATTAGAGACAAAGGTAAACAAGCTATTGGTTCTGTTTGCGCGGTTATGGCTAGGGCAAAAATGAGTACATGGTTGACACGTGTCCATTTATTCGATTCACTGGTTAGCAGCATTGTCACCAACTGCATTCCAGCATGGGGACTACGATACCCAAATATTCTAGAAAGAGTACAACTTACCTTTTTCAAGAGGTTTCTATCGCTCTCAAAAAATACTGCTGATTTTGCTGTTCGGTTGGAATCAGGAAGAGTTGAATTCTCCTACTATATATTCAAACACTTCCTGAACTGGGTCATCAAAATGCTCGAAGACAAAGGTAAACAAGCTATTGGTTCTGTTTGCGCGGTTATGGCTAGGGCAAAATTGAGTACATGGTTGACACGTGTCCATTTATTCGATTCACTGGTTAGCAGCATTGTCACCAACTGCATTCCAGCATGGGGACTACGATACCCCAATATTCTAGAAAGAGTACAACTTACCTTTTTCAAGAGGTTTCTATCGCTCTCAAAAAATACTGCTGATTTTGCTGTTCGGTTGGAATCAGGAAGAGTTGAATTCTCCTACTATACAAGGTGATTCTAAAATAGGTGGTCAAACTTTGGGAGTATATAGAGTGAGTGAAATAATTACGGAAACCTCGGTAACATTTTCTTCTGAAGTGTCCCCCAAGAAAGATACAGCCCCTCAAAGGGGAGCCTCGGAGAATGATTTTGTACTATTATCTCCAACACCTTGTATGATGAATATCTAAAATTTTGTTTATCCACTAACTATTCAGTGCCGTTTCGAATGGAGTTGAAATCACCTCAAAATTAAATACAGGGGTGTGTCAAAACAGGGAGGTAGGGGGTAAAAATAACCCCAACATTTTTGTTCATCGCAAATTCAGTTTTTTTTACATGAAATTATGAAATCTCAGGGCTATTAACATAGAAAAGGAGATCCTGTTGAATCTCGATAAACTGAACCATTAGCGAATAAAATTTATTTTTCCAAGATTTCATTTAAATTGCAATTTTGGTATGCACTTGAGTTTAATCATCTAGTTCAAACCTTGCAACTGAATGTTCACCTACTTCTCATCGTCTGATCAACTTGGAATCTGGCTGATGACAGTTTGCTTTTTGATAGAAAAAAATATGGCGGCTCCAATGTGGCTGACCAGATTTGTGATTATGGTTCGATTCGATTCAAAATTGGTTTGTAAGGGTTTTTGGGGTTGGAAATTTTGAATTCGTTGTCGGAATTGATGAATTAAAAATAGACGACGAGTTTCGTGGTTATGGTCTGATCCTATTGAAAAAACTAAAATGAATTAAAAATATTGTTAAAAACAAGCTTTTTTTAAATTTTATTCGTTAATAGTTCATTTTATCGAGATGCAACAAGAGCACATTTTTTATGTAAATAGCCCTGAGATTTCATTATTTCATGTCAAAAAACTGAAATTGCGATGAACAAAAAAGTTGGGGTTATTTTTACCCCCTACCTCCCTATTTTGACACACCCCTGTATTTTATTTTTAGGTGATTTCAACCCCATACGAACCGGCACTGAATAGTTAGTGGATAAACGAAATTTCAGATTTTCATTACACAAGGTGTTGGAGATAATAGTACAAAATCATTCTCCGAGGCCCTCCTTTGAGGGGCTGTATCTTTCTTGGGGGTCACTTCAGAAAAAAATACTACAGAGGTTTTCGTAACTATTTCACCCACTCTATATGCTCCCAAAGTTTGACCACCTATTTTAGAATCACCTTGTATATTCAAACACTCCCTGAACTGGGTCATCAAAATGCTCGAAATGGAGAACTCTCGTCTGCCGAAAATATGTTTCTTGCGCCAGATTGATTTGATGAATAATGAAAATACAAAATACAATTGGGCGAGTCAATTCAAAAAATACCTCGATTTTGCCGAATTTACGGGACAACTCGAAGCAGCATCTTGTTCTACCACACTAAAACGAAATAAAAAAATGTTACTTGAAACTTATAGGAATAAACTACAAAAAGCAGATCTGAATCTGTTATCTCGGACCTCCTACCTCACTACTTACAAATTTCCTAAAAATTAAACTTGGTTTTCAAGATTATCTACAAGCCGGAATCCCTATCCACATTACCCGAGTAATTGCACAACTTCGACTCTGCAATGACTTTATCATTAAACCAAGAGAAATTTGTACTGCCTGTAACCAAAACACCTTTGAAACTATTCACCACATTCTATTCGATTGCCCCATATACTGCTCCATCAAGCCACCAAATACCCCATTCCTGACCGATACAAATCAACTTATTCATTCCCTCGATAATATGACGCCCTCCATTGCTAAGTCGATATACACTCATATATGGAATATATTGAAATTACGCTCCTTCATAATAAATGAATAGGCCGTTACCTACCTGATATCAGAATATATATAATATATAATTATTTCTATTGGTTCTCTTTATATCCTACACTTTCCTCATTACATAATTTGTATTATACTCTTAGTGTACCAATCGCCGGATATAGTTTGTAAGCAATACATTTTAACACTCTATTGTATGTACTCACTGATGTATCAAACTTTGGTGTTACTAACAACAATTGTACTACCAATTCTATAAACTTTTAATTTAATTACCACTCATCTTGCAAATATAACTAAACCCTTGTTATGAAACTGTAAGTTCAAGAAACAATAAATTATTGATTGATTGATTGATTGACAACTGAACTCCTTGGCAACCTACTTGATATATAAATATTTTAGTAATATTCATCGTAGAAATATAATATGGTGTGCTACACACTTATCTTGAATTTGTCTTTTCTGCGCATTTGCGAGTCTGCTCTCACCGATATTGAAGAAAAAGTTTGTTGCTATGCAACGTTTCAAGTAATTTGAATGAAATTTGGTAATCGAAATTGACACTGACATTGAGTGAACACAAAATGATGGATGTGATGGCAGCGAAGTAGATTGACTACCTCGGCAAAATTCCTATCAGCCGCGGCAGTCAATCTACTACTTTGCTGCCTAGTAACACAAATAACTATTATTGCAACAGTTTCTACCTGCATCTTGATCTTGATTTGCATGCGAACACATTTTCTTGGCGTGAATATCTGATTTTATACCATCTGATAAATGATTATCCAGAAACTTTATCAGTGTAGTAGTCGAGATCGAGCGATATTCTTCAGACAACATTCGTTTCAAAGAATTCGTTGAAAAAATGTTTCTCCTCAATAAAATAATAATATGTCATTTTGACTTTTTTGTCAAAGAATGAGAATGTTCACTAAATACATCTGACAAAAAAAAACTATATTAGTACCTATCTCACTCAGAAACCGAACAGGTAAACAATAATATCATCTGAAAAGCTGTTTGGTGACATCGTAGGTATAGAGATTCAGTAGTCGATATGCGATTGGTTAGAAAGTATGTGTGAATTTGTTAGGTATAACATATATTCATAGGCTATGGCTATTACGAGGCATGTCAGGTATGTTGCTAAGAACAGTCAGATCTGAAAGCAACATGTTCAGGAAGTTGTCATACAGTTCTGAGCTAGGTATTTATCAATGCTCGATGGATATTTGCTTCGAAAAAATTTCTTATCTGTGATGTGGACATTTGGAATATTAGGATTAGAATTATAATGAAATAGTATAGTACCCATAGTACCCACCATTACAGCACTCGCCTCCGGCTCATTTTCGTGAGAAATAGAGCCATCATTTTGCGCTCTAATAAACTGATGAAATGTTAATTATTCTTTTTAAGCTCTCAGTTAAATTTTAATCGAAGGATTCAATAGAATTACCGAAATAATTTCTACTGTTATTTTTAAAATGATATCGCCTTGATATTTTTAATTCTTATCATTTTGTTTTTTTTGTCTGAAGAAGTGTGGAAGAATCGGTACACTGACTTCACTTCATGTTTGCCACTATACCTTTTTTTATTTTGTTCAATAGCAGGCAATAAACGATTATTACTATTATAATTATCAAATTGAATAACATGTAATTGATATTTTTATTTATAATTTTTTTAATTTTTAGTGAAGCCAAGTGAGCTAGCCGACTTCAAGAGTTACATGAAAATTCCAACCAAATAACTGGTACTGTTTATTCATTATTGTGACTATTCGGTCATATATTGCATGATTTTCAACATAGCCTAATATTTTTTTGTGATAATTATGTTATATTATTCAATCTTCATGAAAATTAGTAGATGAACACTATTAGATATGTTTATGTTGAATCAGCTCTGGCATATCTCCCGTGAGCATATTCATTATTTATTTATTTATTTGAGTGACGTATGTTTGTTTATGATGGATATAATTTCGTATGACACCCATGTGTTAAGGGACCTTAGTCATTTTAAAGATAAATTGAATACTTGATAACCATTCTATCAGTCCAAGTCGTATGTATGTGTAATTTTGTAATTCTTCCGTAATTCATTCGGCTGTTGATTGCAAAACTGTATTTATATTTTATTAGAAATATACCTACCTATATGTAATTTTCATTTTTGATTCGGACTACCCTGAATTGTAATATTTTCATTCAAAGTCTCATGTCATAGTGTGATGTATGATGTATTATTTTACAATGATTTATTGAAAGTTTTTATTTCAAGATTCTTGTCATACCTACCTACTGTGATAAATGATGTGTATTTTATATACATATATTTTATTAAAACTTGGCCGTAATTTTGAATGTGATTTCAATTTCTACCGCCTTATCATTATTGTTTCATTATTGTATCCATAAACGAATAACATCTTGACAACCTCAATTTTTATGTTTAAGTAAGTGTCTCGGGCAATATCGAAAAAAGGTCCAGATTATTTCGACTAAACCTGCATCATTATCACCTTGAATCTGAATAAGATTTTCGTGTGGGTCAAAATTTATGTAAATACAAATTTCAAAAGTATATGAAATATTGCATTCATCGGAATAACACAATCAATATCGGGAAATAGCTTATGTGTATCATAAAATTGAATGTGAAGAAAATCCGTTTGACACAACTCCATAAAATCTTACTGAGTGATGTATGTTATTCGAGGACGAACATTGAATTTTGAAATCGATTTCTATATGATTTCCAGGAAATAGGAAAGATGATAATAAAACATCACGAGTTATACTAATTTTATTTCATTTTTCTACTCCACTCTACATTGTCTATAAAAAGTTCAAATAAACAATTGTAACAAGTAACCATATCCATCTTCACTATTCCTGGTGACTATTAATGAAACAGTAGCCACTTCGATTCCAACCACCACCACCCAGGCGATCAATACTGTCATGGGTGAGTGAGAATTATTCCTGTTGTACCCACTCTTCAATTTTTTCATCAGACTAGCTCTCGATATAAACAATAGAATGCGAGTTCAGAACGTGGGGTTCTCATATTCGATGATAGATGGCGTGAAGGATAGAAAATTTATTGAAAAATTTCGAAATACGTTTCGAACTTTATTATGAAGTTGCACTAAACTTTCAAGTTCGCCTTCTTTCGGGGCCTGAAGAATTCCGTTGATGATGTACGAATTCAATAATAGCTGATAAGAAGCATCAAGAGACAGGGAGCAATAAATAATCCGTGCAGAAACATCTTGTTCTTGACATATCTGTCACGAGTGTCATGTTTTCGACATATACAAGATTTTTTTGAAATTTCAAATAGAAATATCTCGAGAAATATTATAAATCATAAGCATTCGTAGTTCATTTAAGCGGGTATTGATATATTATTAGTTGAGTAAGTGTATTGTGCTTTCATCATGAACTGACTGCTGCAATGTGTGAGTTAATAAACTATTTTTCTTGAGTTAGGACTTTGTAAGTCGAAAATATAACGCGCCGTTTTAAACAAAAAATTGTGAACTCGAATGAATATGTGATGTTGCCTGTAAATTTGCTTCGCAACTTGGGAAATTTAGGACGCCTCGCTATTTTTACAAAGTAGGCGATATCACGAGATTTCGAAACTCCTATCAATAGAAAGTGATAGCACCATTTGATTTTCGATACTTTTATGTCATAAGTCAGTCAGTCAGTCAATGCTGCCATGTGAGATTTGGTCACTTCTATTTTTTTAAAGTAAAAAAAAAATAAATAAAAATTTGTTATGTCTTACACTCAACTCCAGTGCTATTCATTCCACTGCGCGAATGCTCCACGTTAGTTTTCATTGGCAGTTTAGTCGCCTTTGCTCCTTATTCATGGCAATAGTGGTTCTCATGAGCCCGCCAAAGCATTTTCTCGATTAGCCTACGACGAAACCCTTCACCACTCTACAAATTGGCGCTCCAACTTGAGGCCGTAGCTAAAAGGATTGTGTTTTGAATGTGTCCGTGAGTACTCTCATACTACTCTTATTATTCAATCGCATTGAATACATAACCTCAACTCAGAACTGCTGCATTTTAACCGCGAATCTTGCGCTAGCTGATCGTGTTCGGGACGATCGTCGATCCGGATTTCGAACGCCTCCTGCCAGCCGCGATCGCTTTGTTCACTGTGTTGCCGGTTGTTACGAATTTCGGTTCTCATAGTCGTCAAAAAACTCCCACTCCAAGGACTGATTCTTCTTCAGTTGAACTTGAACTTGAAGTAGGTACTTCGCGCACTTATGTAAAATATATGAGATATTTATATTTCAACTCTATGGTACTCAATCGAGCAAACATTCACGAAATCATTTATTCCTGTTCAACAATAACTATGTTTTATCTCTTGGAGCGCACGAAAGAAAATTCCCATTATGTTCATAGAACATCGTGCGTACCTAGGAAGAATAGGGGGAGTCCTTTTAAGCTAGCTCAACACTATTTTTTGTATCAAGCTGAGCATATTTTTACTTAAGAAATATGTTTTTTGACGTTTGTAGAAAAAATGTTGTTTGCAACTCGAGCGCGAAATACTTAGGTCATCTCGACTATTTTTCAGATCTCGATCACCAAAGCAGCATTTCGCGCTCTAGATACAAAAATAACTATTTTTTTCACATCATTAGGCCCATGGCAGGAGTGCATCGTTCAAAGAAAAAGGAGGCAGGATGTGATTCATTTCTAACTGATATGTTATTGGGGAAATTTCAGCTTTTACCATATTTGACATTTATTCGTTTTTTTTTACAACATTGATAAGCTGCTGATAAGCGTTGTCCCGCGATAGAGGTGGCAGAAGTGAATTTTGTTGATAGGCTATATCATTACAACAGATAAAAAAATGAACCAAGCCTTATCAAATAAGACATTGAAAAATGGAAAAATGTTGTTGGCTCCCAGGCTATAAATGTCGAACAACTCAAACAAGTATGTAGAAACATAGAGACCATTTTATCATACCGAATAGGTACGTGCTTTTATAGGCCGAAAATTCGTTTCATAAGCAAAGTACGTGTTTTTATTGTTGTAATGTGTTTCATGATGAAAATCCGTGTGTAACAATGAACAATATGAATAAATCGGTAGCAGATATTCGCGTATACGTCAGTAAAAATATAATATCATTTTTCTACAAACGTCAAAAAAAGACAAGGTTCGCGCATTGATAACAAATTGCGAAGTGATACTTTTTATCAGTTTCCTACGTTACCATGATACCTTGCACAAAACAATGTGCGAAGTAAAACAGTGCGCGAAGTACATGGCTAGTTTTATTAATGTGAATCCCCCTTCATCTTCTTTGTTTTCTATCTATTCAAGAAGAATGTATGTATGGAATGCACTGTATATTTTGATAGATGAAGATCCTTCTATATATATATGTTCGAAATCAGGATGATTTCGAGAATTCAAATTTATTGAAATATATTTCATTTGAAAAATATATTTATTTCTGTATACCCTGTATATTTGACAAGATATTGCATTATTGTCAAAATGAGTGAGATCTGTGTGAAAAATTTTATAAAATCAGTTTTGAAATTTTTTGAATGGGTGGAAAACAAAAAAGATAGAGAGGGGTTCACATTAATAAAACTAGCCCTGTACCTTACCTACTTCGCGCATTGTTATGTAAAGTATATGAGATATTTATATTTCAACTTTATGGTCCTCAATCGAGCAAACATCCACGAAATCATTCATTTCTGAATGTTCAACAATACCTTTGTTTTATCTCTTTGAGCGCACGGAAGGAAATTCCTATTATGTTCGTGGAACATCGTGCGTACCTAGGGAGGATATAAGGAGGTCTTTTAATCCAGTTCAACACTATTTTTTATATCAAGCTAAGCATATTTATACTTTAGAACTATATTTTTTTACTCGATCACAAAAGTAGCATTTCGCGCTCTAGGTGCAAAAATAACTATTTATTCTTGAAAAAAAAAACAATTTTTTAGAGATAGAAATTTAATAAATACAAATCAAATCAAGCAAACATTTGTAAATGCGAGAATATATAGTTAATCGATATAAAAAAAAACAGTCCAAAAACAATCATATATCAAGAACAACACATATAAATATAAAAAATGCAGCCTTGGTAAGGGAAAATATAAAGTCTCGATAACAATAATAATAACTGAATACCTTATGACCCAGGTGCCAGAAATAGGTAATTAGCTGTAACCTCTATTTTTTCCATACACCAATCAAAACCTAATAAGAAATGCTCATTATCTACAAGCGAAAAAAAATTTCAAATGAGTTCCTGAAGAAATTAGTATCGAGCTGAATACCTATTCAAATTCAAAAAAATTGATGGGGCAACATGGATGTATAGTGAATTCGATGAGGAATACAAACTTTTAATCAAATTTACTGGAATTTCCATTTCGAAAAATAAAATTTCATATACCTACGGTAAGTAGGTTAATGTCATTCTCCAGTACCATAACCAAAATATGTATGGTTGCAGAGTCATCAGGTATATGTAGTATCAATTTTTAGTAATATTATAATTTCGTATATTCAAAGAATTCGACGATTTTTCGACGTTGTCAATATTGACTTATAGAACATAGACTGTAACGGACAGACTAGAAATCAAAAAAAAAAGATTGAAGTTTTGAATGGCCAGAGTTATTCCAAACGTACCATAATGCTAAGTCAGGATAGCTTCATTGGAAGCTTTGGAGCTTGTTAAATAAAATACAATACACACCAGCAAAATTGTGTTCCACATGGAAACTACCAATCATTAGTATCGGCTAAGTCACTGAACAATTTATCTTTGATTTTTGGCCTGGGGTCTTCTTTTATATTCGTTTCTATGGCTCCAGTATTTCCAATAAGATATTCGAACTCTGAAAGGAAGTAATCACTACAGACACCATGTACCTACCGGATGAGGTTGAATATTGTATAGTAGGCACATGATCTGGAGTTCCCAACAGGTAAAGCCATATATGTGAGTTGGAACTCTGCTTTTTGACGATATGTTAACATGAAAACCCCTATATGAGTTGGTATTGTATACATCTGTCTGTTATGAAATGCCGAGCGTACGAAATCAAATAGGGCTTTACTTGTTGAGATTTCCAAATAAAGATTTGGAAATCCCAATAGGTGAAACCGTATGTGAGTTGGAATAATTATGCTTTTTGACGAAATGGCAACTGTCTGTTATGAAATGCGAACGTACGGTTTCACCTATTGGAATTCGCAACAGGTGAAGTCCTATATGTGATTTCGTAATGCGAATATTATTTTTCAAGAATTTCCAGAAGGTCTTAACGATGTCGAAGGAACGCCCTGTGATTCCGGATAGCCCTGTACACGGCAAGTAGAAAATTCTGGTTGCGCAAATTAGCATTATAATAATGCGCCATTAACTCAGATATTGCCACAATCTATGAATATGTGCACTTATTTTACAGAAAAATATATCTAATTGATAGGAAATCGAATAGGAATCGGTAATTATCCGTAGGAAAATGTGTACAAACAAAAAGATTATCTGAATAATTTATTTTAATGAGGACTCAGAAAAGGTATACAAGAAATAGAAGGTAATGTGGAGAACATTTAATTGTGAAAGTTCTTCTTAAACTTGTGAAAACCAACATAAGACACTCTCAGGGTGGATAAGTAATGTAATGTTACATAATATTGTCTCATCAGTGTGTATGATTCGGTTCAACTTTTGAAGATGATTTGAATATTTCTACAATATTTCCATCTTCATTGCAGATGGATCTCGATGCAATTAATGCGGAAGTGTCTTTGACTAGAAGATAATCCATCAAGTTGTCCGATCTGCAAGCTGATACACCGTATCCTATAAGTTCAATTCGTGTCGTCAAGGCACGATTTGTAATGGCATTCTCATCGAGCTGGACAACGACGTTGTTTCTGCCAAACAGAGTAACTTATTTATTAAATTTGTTCCGGGCAAATATTTCCTGGTATACAAAGGACTTGAAGACGTAGGAAAACCGAAGGAGGCTTTCCAATTCGAGTTGATCGAAACTGCGAAAAAATGGCGTTCCGACTGAATGCGTTTTAAAATGAAATTTTGATGATATTTATATATGGACACTCAATATTGTTGCCGTTGTGAAACAAATTATTGTTTTTGTTAAAATTCTATGGGTTTGCATAATTTTCTCTCAACTCTATCAAATCTTCAAGCGGCATACAATTCGAAACCGTCTGATGAAAAAAATATATAAGGAGTCGATAATACAAACTTGTACTGCACAGAACCGGTACAAGATAGTCCATCTGAAAATAACTCAACAAATCGATTTGAAAATAATTATATGCAACAAGGTTGTAGTACTGACTCGAATAGATCTGTGGTATTTAAATTATCAGAACCACTTAAAATGAAACATTCAAACTCAGATAATCGTGGAGGTATAGACTTGTCAGAACCACCCAGGAAAAAAAAATTATTGATTGAATTTCCAAAATTTATAATAATTTTTGAAGTGCTATCAGTATATTATTACCGTACGTTGAAATCGAGAGTTGTGGTGTCATAAGAAGTGAAATTAAGGAATCTCGTATTGCCAAAGCAAGTGATTATATCGTGGGTTTATCCAATAAAGCATTCAAGCTTCTCTCAGATTCCACTAATTTAGCAACCAAAAAACACTGGATCAAATTGAATGATCACCATCAAAGGTTTTTCAATAAAGCTATCAGAGAAACGCATATGAATGTTTCATCTTTGAAAAAACTTCAAACTAATATCGGACCCTTGAAACGATTCAGAAAACCGATTAATGATCTTTGCATATCGCATGTTTTCATAGGACTTAGTGGAACATCGAGGAAAGAAAGGATCAGGTGGGAAGATATACAGTCAGCTTTCACAGGACGCATTTCCGTTTTTTTAAGTTATAATTGAATACGTCTCAATACGAAAAATTTTATCATTGACATTGGTGAAGATTTGAAAAGAGCTTGTGTCAATGTGAAAAATGCAGATGAAGCTTGTTTTGCATAGGCTGTCACTTCATGTTTATTCCCTGCACAACGTAACTCTTCGAGGACTTCTTCGTATCCGCATTACAGTGAGGTTTTAAATGTGACAGGTATTCAATTTCTTATGAGGTTGAACCAGATTTCGAAATTCGAAGTTTTGAAAAATTTATCTGTCAATGTGTTATCCGCATTACAGTGAGGTTTTAAATGTGACAGGTATTCAATTTCTTATGAGGTTGAACCAGATTTCGAAATTCGAAGTTTTGAAAAATTTATCTGTCAATGTGTTTATTCTGGAAATGGATAGGAATAAACAGATGACTACGATCCCAATAAGGATTACTAAGAATGATTTCAGAAAGACATGCCAATAATTTATTGATGATTCAAGACGAATATGTTGCCAGAGAAAACTTGAGGGCATTTGATGGAGATGTTGAAGAACCATCATTTTTCGATGACTGTTGTCGATAAATATTTTTATGATGTTGGATAAAAAATTTATCACGAATAATTTCTAGTCAGATAGGAAAACACAACGGTAAGAAGTATGTATGTGATAGATGTTTAAACTATTTTACAAAACAAGAGTACATAGAATTCACACAATATTCATTGTCAAAAAGTGAACACATCTAAAATATAATTTTCAGAAGAGAAATACTTATCTTTCAAGAATTTTCACCATAAAGAGAAATTGCCATTCGTAATTCATGCCGATTTCGAATCTTTGCTTATATCATTCGAAGAAAAACAGAGAAGAAAGCTTATAAAAACAGCTCGCTATCAAAAACACGAAGCGTTCAGTGTAGGTTATTACTTGAAATGTAATCATGACCAGAATTTTACGTTTCACAAGAGTTATAGAGGTACTGATTGTAATGAATGGTTCGTTTATGAGATGAATGCCGTAACAGATCTCATAGACTCGAAATTGCAAGTCAATATACCGATGAAGATAATCAAGATATTCAAGACAATACTACATATCACATTTGTGAAGAATCTTTCACGATGTCCGATACTATCGTATGTGACCACGATCATTATACAGGGAGATTTCGTGGATTTTGTCATTCTAATTGTAATCTTAATTACAAAAAATCACTCGTTGCAAGCGACTCACTCAACAACCGACGAAAGAAGAAGTTAACCGAGTTACTGCAGAGGTATAGATCCATTTTCATACCTGCCAAGGAAAAAACAGGTAGAACCAACATCGTCAGTCACAAAATCGATACGGAAGATACCAGGGGGTCTATTCTGGAACCGTTCGAATTCGATTCGTAAACGATTAAACAAAGATGCACTTACGTATGTGACGTGTGTTGAAGTGAAATAGAAGATCGAATTCGTATACGAATAAAGCTCAAGATTAGACCCCCTGACCGATTCGTCAACCAGCCCGAAGATTACCTCAAACCAAGAGAAAATTGCAGAAAAGATCATCCAGGATATGGAACAAGACGAGGTAATCGAGCCATCAAATAGTCCTTGGGCTTCACCAGTGGTTCTAGTAAAAAAGAGAGATGGAAACACTCGTTTCTGCGTGGACTATCGCCGATTCAACAACGTGACGAAGGAGGACAGCTATCCTTTGCCTCGAATTGACTCACACTCGACACGTTGAGGGAACCGAATCGTTTCTCCACTCTGGACCTGAACAGTGGATATTGGCAGGTGGAAATGGATCCGGCAGATGAGGAAATGATAGCTTTCACCATCGGCACTGGATTGTGACAATTTAAGGTTATGCCTCTCGGACTCTGCAATGCTCCGGCCACCTTCGAACGAATCATGGAGAATCTGTTGAAGGGACTCTCCTGGAAGACATGCCTGGTTTATTTGGATGACATCATCGTGATCGGTAAAACTTTTGAAGAACATCTGGCTAACCTAGAGAAAGTTTTCAAGAGACTTCAGGCTGCAAACCTCACACTCAATCTGAAGAAATGTCATCTGCTGCAGGTACGGGTTAACTACTTGGGGTACGTCGTAGGAAGGTAGGGTGTGGAAGTCGACCCTGAGAAGGTACGAGCAAAGAATCAATGGCCATCAACTCAGAAGCTTTCTTGGACTCTGCACTTATTATCGACGATACGTTCGAATGTTTTCGGATATCGCAAAGCCTCTGACTCGTCTCACCGAGGAAGCACGTCCCTTCCACTGGGATCGAGAATGCCAGGCCGACTTTGATACTCTGAATGAACGCTTGACCACGACACCGATTCTTGGGTATCCACTTCCACGAGTACAATTCATTCTTGACACATATGCCAGTAATATCGGCATTGGTGGTCCTTTCGCAGTATCAAGATGAGCGAGAGCGAGTCATCGGTTACTTCAGCAAGGTGCTATCAAAGGCAGAACGTAACTACTGCGTTACCAGAAGGGAACTATTGGCCATGGTAAATCAGTGGAGCACTTCTATAAGAACCTCTATGGAAAAAAATTCCTACTCAGGACGGACCACGCTGCATTGAAGTGGCTCCTGAATTTTGAGAACCCCGAAAGCCAAGCAGCTCGTTGGATCGAGAGGCTCCAGGAATATGACTTCGAGATAGCACACCGAGTGAGAACGAGCCATAAGAATGCAGATGCATTGTCCAGAAGGCCATGTCCACCTGAGTGCTCACATTGTAGTCGTTTGGAGGATAAGGAAGCAGCCCTCTGCAGAACCACCGTTGTCAATGAAGATTGGCTACCTGCATTAATCAAGCAAGAGCAAGAAAAGGACCCAGAACTTCAGAAGCGTCGAGAATGGAAGAAAGCGAATCGCCGCCCTTCTTGGCAAGAAGTAGTTCCATCTTCACTGACTTTGAAGGCGTACTGGAGTCAGTGGGACTCTTACATCACTGGTAAATGCAACTCG